TCAAGCCATAGGATCTTCATACTTCAGATTATGCAAAACTTATTTCATAAACTACATGAACTTTATATCATCTTTGAATGGACTTATATTTGAATTGTGGGCATTTCCTTATCCATTTCTCATTGTTCCCTTAATGGGTTGTTTAAGTTTTAGAGATGGATACCTTACATTTATGGTTACGTTTCAATAATTTTGCAGTACAATCTTTTTCTAAATGGTTTGTGCAGTTTCGTTATTCCACTGGATGTTTAAATTGTGGTTTTTGCAGTAAACTCATGCAATTTATGAGCTTAATAAATTTTTGCTTTATTATTTGCATAAGTTTTTGCATTAAACAAGCATTCATAAGTGCCCGAGTTTCCTGATGAGACTACTGTAATGAACTATATGTGGGACAGCCCTTGAAAAGAGGCAGCCTGACTCTTGTCCAATGTGTGCTATCATGACTATGTATCACTGATTTTATACCAAAATCACTGGCTTCACATAGTGGTACAATTCATAGCCATGTTACTCTGTAGAATCAGTGTGTAGAGAGCTCTTGTAGCACCTTTGAGACTAACAGAAAGAAACAGAAAGATACAATCGCATCTGCTCAGACCCACAAGACAGGGATGTCAAACTCAAGGAATTACAACAAGTTTTTTTGTGGGTTTTTCGGGCTGTGTGGCCATGTTCTAGAAGAGTTTCTTTCTGACGTTTCGCCAGCATCTGTGGCTGGCATCTTCAGATGCCATCTTCTCTGAAGATGCCAGCCACAGATGCTGGCGAAACATCAGAAAGAAACTCTTCTAGAACATGGCCACACAGCCCGAAAAAACCCACAAAAAACTATGGATGCTGGCCATGAAAGCCTACGACTTCAAATTACAAGAAGCATTCTTTAAACTACAGTACCCACTACATGAAGTGAAAAAAACAAATAAACAAGGCAAGGTGTATACCCAGGATTGATCTATTACGGAACAAATTGAAGAGGGAAAATAACAGAACCCCACTAGTGGTCACCTACAGCTCCCAACTGAGATCACTCAGACGCATCATCAATGAACTTCAACCCATTCTGGACAATAGTGCTACTCTTTCAAGGGCTCTTGGTGGCAAACCTTTACTTGCGTCCAAACTTCAAATAGGTATTTACCTACAGGACGACACATGACACAGATGGCAACACAGGTACTAAGCCTTGCCACAAACCAAGATGCCAACTCTGCCCACCCATTTATCCAGGAAATGTCATCAGAAGACCTAATGGCATCACCCACAATATTAGGGGGGCCTTCACATGCTCATCCTCCAATGTGATTTATGCCATACTATGTTGGCAATGCCCTTCAACACTCTACAAACAGGACAGTTCGTGTGCCAGAGGATAAATGGACATAAATCAGATATTAGGAATGGGGATACACAAAAACTGGTGGCAGAACATTTCAACTTCCCTGAGCATTCCATCTCAGACCTCAGAACAGCGGTTCTTGAATAAAAGAACTACAAAGGTAGATTGGAAAGAGAAACAGCAGAATTGGAATTCGTCCACAAACTACAGTCCCTCAGCAATGGCTTGAACAAAGACAACGGTTTCCTGACCCACTATACACACTTTAACACTAGCTGACCCCATGCTCATGGGGGTGCCCTACATTCATCTGTTCTCACCACCACAGACCAGTCCCATTGCAAAACTGGATCTGCCAGTTTATCTCCATGTACAAAGCCCAGTTTCCTATGCCTTTGTGTACTAACGACCATAGTTAAAACTGGACCTGCAACTTCATTTCCATACACAAAGGATTTTTAATTTGAATTGACATCCTCACATACCAATGGCATACATATGTCTGTGCCTGGCTTCCACTCCACCAAATGCATCTGAGGAAGTAGACAGAAGTCTACAAAAGCTCGTGCTGCCAATTTCTCTCTGTTAGTCTCAAAGGTGCTACAAGATCTCTCTACACACTGGCTTCACAGTTTGCTTCTAAATTCAGTCCAAGGTGCTACCCATATGAGCCTGCCCAGAGACGTGGTGGAATTGCTTCCCAAGGGAAATCAGGCCGCCCCTTTTGAACTTCTTAAAGACAAAATGAAGACTTAACTGTTTTAGACAGCCTTTGATCCTTGAAACAAGGGTTGGCATTTTGTACTGCCTTTTAAAAACTAGTTTCAAATAAAATTATTTTAAAGAACATTTTATCTGTTTTTATTTATTATACCCTACCTTGGGGTCCTTAAGAATTTGAGATATGATAAAGAAATATTATAAAAAAGAAATAAATGCCACACTTAGCAGTACCAATTGCAGCCAGCTGCCAAGCAGCTTTTAAAAACACAACCAGAAGGTAAAAAACTTTTTTCAACACAGATTAGTATTACAACTCAGAATAGATACAGTAGAATCTCTTGCACTGTGAAGAGGAGGCATTAGGTGTTAAGTGTGCAATCCTCTGAAGATCTACTTAAATTTTACTTCCAGATAAGTTAAGTTAAATTGTACTTCCAGATAAGTGGGTATAGGATTGCAGCAGAATATTTAGTCCCTCTAGTGCAGTGATTCCCAAACTTTGGTCATCCAGATGTTTTGGACTCTATCTCCCAGAATTCCTGACTGCTGGCTAAGCTGGCTAGCACTTCCGGAAGTTGAAGTCCAAAACTCCTGGAGAGCCAACGTTTGGAAATTGCTGTTCTAGTGTAAATACATTATAGAAACATACTGTTAATTCTTAATAAATGTAACTGCAATCTTCAGATGTCAATCGAAGGTTTTTCAGGTCAATTAGAGCAGAATGATACATTGTGCACAAAATCTTACATTATGTAAACACATTACTGAGGCAGAAAACAATTTGGTGGATATTCCCTTGGAAATAAGTAATTGAATGTTTCTAATCAGGTTTCAGATATCTCTGTGGGACAGAGTAGGTAGCCTTCATGTTAGCAAAGCTAGAGATTAATTTTAGAAAATGCACTTAAGTACAGAATGAGTGCAAATTCATAAACTGGGAAATGTAACATGGTCAACAAACTACCGCCTGAAGCACTGATAGTTACTGATGGCCCATAGGGATGATATAGTACAAGTGAGGTCCTCCATCCATTCTGTCAGTTTTCATCCATGCTTTATCCCTCTTCCCCATGGCCACAAACTCTTTCTACTCACATACTGAAGAAATCCCCTCCCTCCCTGTGCTGCAAAACCCTATTTAAAAGGTAATTCATTCCTCCTGCAACACGTATTTTAAAGAGCTCCCATTTATGATGATAATGATGATGATGATGAAGATGAAGATGATGATTGATGATGATGCAGTCAGTTGGACAAAAAAAAGAGAGAGAAGTTTTACTGTATCAAGGGAAAGCATTATGTTATGTATGCTGTGTATATTTGCATGAGTATGAATGGGGCCTGTGCAGTTATGCCAGCGTTAGAGTAGTTACTCTCAATTTGGGAGATGGTCCTGCCTACTGCTGATATTCTTGCCCAGAAGCAGTTTAATTCCTGTGCCTAAAATGGTTCCCCTCTCAGCCAAAGGACACTACAGTGATGAACTGTTCTGGAAGAAATCTACAGAGGCTCTAAGTTGGCATGAACCTCATTGGACTGAACTATTGTGTGCCTTCAAGTTGTTTCTGACTTTTAGTGACATTAAGGCAAATCTATCACAGGTTCCTTTGCAAGTTTGTTCAGAGGGGGTTCATCATGGCCCTCTTCTGAGGCTGAGAGGCTGTGACTTAGCCAAGTTCACCTAGAGGGTTTCCATGACTGAACAGGGATTCGAACCCTGATCTTCAGAGTCACAGTCCAGCACTCAAACCACTACACCATGCTGGCTTTCCAAACTATTATTTGCCAATTCATACGTAACTTGGTGCCTTCCAGATGTTAGTGAGTAAAACATGCTGCAGCCAGCATGGCTGATACTGCTTATGGAAATTGTGGTCTAAAACATCTGGAGAGCAGCAGGTTACCTGTGCCTGATCCTGAGTGTGTGTGTGTGTAAATATTATTATAATGTTCACGTTTGTTCCAGATCATCAATCTTTAATGTCCTACCATTTGAATGACTGCTTTACACAATCCACATGCCCCAGGATTAAGTGGATTTCTCTTTAATTGCCACAGAGTAACATTTTAGCCAAAAACCTGAAATGAGGAGTGAACATTTCGCAATAAATGAGTTGTCACACATCGAAATGCTTTGGGAAATGTATGGAAAGCCAAACCAAGCTTATGGAGTAGTCTATTTGAAATGGGCACGCTTATTATTCCCCTCTCAGTCAGAAGTGTAGTTGCAACAACAGTCAAATCACACTCCTGGGTGGATAGCTGAGACCCTGCAGGGTCCCTCCTAGGCTTGGGTCCCCTAAAAGCAGCAGTGCCTGAGGCCAAGAGTATAGAGTGGCAATGAGGTGGAGTTCAAGCATGCAAATCTTTTCTCTTTTCTGAAGCAGAATCAGATTTGCACAAGTTAGCTTTTCCCTACTGTGTGCCTGTATTTGTTAGCCCTCACAATGTAAAGAGTTCTCTGGTAATCCAACACTCTACAGAACTAGGTATGTATGCTTTACCTTTTAAATTATATATTAAGGGAAGATGGCCATGCACAGACAAGTAAGATTTCCATTCCAGTAACAACTGTGGAGAGGAAAAAGGCATTCCAGTAGGTGAAGCTTACTGCGTAGAGGTGAGAGAAATAGTAGCAGCCACTCACATTTACGGCACAGAAGAATGAATTCCAGCAGATTAGGCTGTTGGTATTTACAGCATGATCACTAATTAGATATTTTCTGGTTTATAACACATGTAACATATTTAAATGTTTGTAACAGTTCCCCTGGTGGCTGTTTTTCAAACATATGCAGAAACATTAGCTACTTAAGACTCCCAGTTGCTGACCTCTGCAGTACATGGACAAATATATATTTGGGATGCATTTAAAAAGAGGATAAAGATGTCATGGATATTAATAAAATGTTATATATCCTGTATAGAAGTTGTGAGAGCCAGTGTGGCATAGTGGTTTGAGTGTTGGCCTAAGACTCTGGAGATCAGGGCTCGATTCCCTACTTGGCCATGAAACCCACTGGGTGACTTTGGGCAAGTCACATGCTCTCAGCCTCATGGGAAGGCCATGGCAACCTCTCTCTGAAAAAACTTGCCAAGAGAACCCCATAATAGGTTCATCTTAGGGTCGCCATAAGTCAGAAACAACTTGAAGGCACACATCAATAAACAAAATACTCTCGGTATCCACTGGGGTTTGGTTCCAGGATCCCCCATGAATACCAAAATCTGTGGATACTCCAGTCCCATTAAATACATATATATTCTTAAAATATTTTAAATCCATGGATGCTTGGATACAGAAGGCTGACTGTATGTGCTGTTTTGTCTCTGGTCTTTAAAATAGAGACTGGAAAGCCATCTTTCAGTTTCAGCTGTGTATTCCTGTGTGTCAAGGGGATTGAACTAGATGGCCCTTGTTGTCCAGGATGACGTCCTCCTTTTCCAGGACATATCCTCAATTCCAGCCTTGTGTCCAGGAGGGATTCCCAAATGTCCTCCCTTTTGAGCATGACTAAGGCGCATGAATTTATATGTATAGGAGTATTTTTAGCTTTTGTTTGGTCATGTCCTTACATTCTCCTTTGCGGTTATGACATCTAGTCACCCTGATTCACAGAACCAGAGTTGGAAGAGACCTCAAGGACCACCAAGTCCATCCCGCTGCCATGCAGGAAGACACCATCAAATTCTCCCTCTACGATCTTACTATAACACCCAAAGGTGTACTGTGTGAGAGACCATGGAAGCCCATGGAGATATGAAGGCCAAATTCACAGATATCTCTACATCAGGCCTCCACAAGACACTCCACCTATTTTATTTTATTTTCCTTTATGAGATGAACGCAACTCCGGTGTGCCCAGTAATAATGAGCCGAGTTCTTCTACTATTCAGTTTAAAACAAAACAAAACAAAATGGTTAGAAACATCAGAGGTAGAATTAGCTCAAACCAATTTGCACGTCCGAGGAAAACCTTGTCAGCATTAGCTTTTCCAAAAAGAAATACTGTACATGAGTGTGAGTAGGGGAGGCGGGAAGAGAGGCGTGACAGAAAAGAGCCTGAGGCTGGAATTGGGTGTCAAACTGGATTATTTTTGCATAGCGGATGGCTCTTTTAAGGTCCAAAACTCAGCACAGAAATGATCCAGTTTGAGACCGCTTTAACTGCCCAGGCTCAATGCTAGGGAATCCTGGGATCTGTAGTTTTGTGGGACATTGAACCTTCTCTGTCAGAGAGATCTGGGGCTACAATAAACTCCAAATTCCCAGGATTCGCTAGCACTGAGCCAGGGCAGTTAAAGCGGTCTCAAACTGGAATATTTCCACGCTGAGTTTTGGACCTTAAAGACCCATCCGCACTGCAGAAATAATCCGGCTTGACACCGGTGGAACTGCCACGGCTCCCTGCTGTGTGGAACTCTGGGGATGGTAGCTTGTTGTGGCACCAGCTCAAGCGGTGTCAAGACGGATTACGTCTTCAGTGCGGATGCAGCTCAGCGTTTCTCCTGTTGAGGGAAAGCCTGCCTAGCAGCCATCTGGATTTCCGAGTCTCACAAGAAGCCACCCTTGCAGCAGAACCTCCTTTTCCCTTTGCTTCGCCCAAGCTGCCCTCTCTTCCTCCCTCCCTCCCGCCTAGTGTGTTTTATTTCGGTTGCGTGGACGCCTCTCACGAGGCTACCGTGTGTTGTTGTTGGGTGTTTGTTTTTTATTAACAGCTGTTGTTGTGAACATCAGTAGTTTCTGGTTTCTGGTGACGAAGCAGGGGAAGGAAGAGGCTGAGGCGAAAAGCGGAGCGCGAGACCAACCGACGCTCCCTAACGGCTTTTTTTTTTTTTCTTTCGCCCCTCAACGGCCACGGCCACGAGGAAGGGGCGGGGCCCGCAAGCGCGCGCGGAGGGGAAAGAGAACTGGGGGAGGGGAGAGGGTAAAGCTGTGTGGAAAGAACGAAGGGGCCGCGGTCGCCATGGTGCCTCGCCTCACTGTCCCCCAGCCCCACAAGCACATTCTCTGTCCCGGGTGGCCCCCTCACTCCGCAGTGGTTTATTTTTTTTCTTCTTCCCCCTCGGGGGGCTCTCAGTGTCCTTGTGCGGAAATGACACACGGTCCCGTCACGTCACGCGAGAGCGCAGCGCGCGGACCCTCTCGCGCGCGGACAGACACACGCGGACATATATATA